CTAATTGAGAACCCCGTGTACTGCAAACGTGCAGTCAGATGGACCAGCGTTGCCAAACCAAGACCCTTCGATCTCCAGCCAAACTAGAGATAGGGCATCGATACCATAATCTCATCATAAAAAATACTTAAAATGCCTCCACTGAATCAAGGGTAAGCATGTCATTACACATATTGTACCCCATCTCTCTAAGGGGGATCATCTCAAAATTAGATAAATCCAACCGACTAAAAAATTTGATTTTTTTTTTCAACAATGCACACCGGCTTTCATGAATATAAACAACAATTCCGCACGTGCGCGTGCATGGTTTAGTAGCACTGGTCAAATAGCACATGTACTAATATTTTTTGAAAACAACAATCATGAATTGACTTCCGACATAATTGATCCACAGCCTAACGTTGAATAATGGGATCAACCTCATAAGCCGTGATAGAATTGACTTCAGATCAGATTATTCTGGATTAAACTTCTGAAAGAAAGGCGAGTAAAAGATGGCAGCTCAGCAGCTCTTAATTTCCATGCATGCAAGCAAAACCAAGTGGCCAACCAGCCCAAGTGCTTCCTTTCTACTAAAACCTTATTACAAGTCGAGCAATATATTGCTTCCAGTTTGCTTTTCTGAACAAATAAAAATTAAAGTTGGCTGGCTGCTACACTTTCGATGTCTCCATCAAGCTGAAGAGGAGAAAAATGGAGTTATTGTCTTCATTTCAGACTGTCTGGATTAAAAGGACTTGAAAGTGCCAGATCTATGGTGATCTTTGGGGACTTGTGGAGGACTTTTGGGTGGTGTTGTCTGAAAATTGTTAGTGAGGAATGACCTGCAATGGAGGTGGAGTGTAGAACTTGATCACTTTGGTAAAGTTCTTTCCTTTTCTGTTTTTCTTTTTTTCTTTTCGAGTTTTGTTGATGTGTAGGAATATGGCAATAATATGATTATAAAGCAATAAAGAAGAAAGGATTACAGGAAGTCATTGTTTTGATGTAATAGTATGAGGTTATGATTTTCCACGGACTCCATAGAATTACTTTGCATGTCATTTGTGAGGAAATATTACATATTTTAGTAAATGAAAATTGAAATACTTGACGGCCTTTGCGCATCTGATCAGTCCTTCTTATATTTGTATAATGTATGTAATTTTTTCTCTTTGTTTGTGCGGGTGAATTTATGTGAAGAGCCTAATCACACACGTGTGCATGTGAAATCGCATGGAGATACTACGAAATATAGTCAGATCAGTGTTAGCCAATTTCGACACTGATATGATAATAATCCAACGCAACACATTTTTAATGGCTGATTTGCATTTTATATATGGTCATTGGTCCACACAAAAAAAACAGGCTTCGTAAATATAAGTAGTGTCAAATATGTCAAACACAAACAACTTAGATCAGCATTAGCATTGGATGATGTCTGCATTAGACACTGGGGCGGAAGTAGAACAACTTAGATCAGCATTAGCATTGGATGATGTCTAAGGGCGGAAGTAGTCTCTTTTTATAGGGGGCGAACTGCCCACCAGACTCAACGTGGGAGGGGTCAAGGCAACAAAGGGCAACTTAATATTTCAGTATGTGTAAAGCTGATATTTCAGGATGGGTAAAATACTAATAATTCACTCATGGTTTGTCAACTCCAATGACGCTCATGCCTGCGTGAATGTTATCTACGAAACTTGCATCAATTTTTTGCACATCATTATTTGCATCAATTGATTCTGTCAGAGATGTTAATTAATTGCCAGAAAGTATCAAAAGTTTCTATCAGAGAGATCGATTAGTTTGTACATTTTCATAAAATAAGAACAATAAAGATAATCATCTCATTCAACTCAAATTGCACAAAGGCTATAACAGCATGGCCTTTCATTCTCAAATGGACGATCAAAATTAATCTAAATTTGCTATTTTTTTATCAAGACGTTCTTTTATTGAAATAATTTGTCGTTACCATCATTATTAGAGGAAAAATAAGTCAACTCCTTGGTAATGGAGGTAGATCATCACCCATCTTATTTTTTGTTGCGTTCATCGCTTTGACTTTTGTCTGTAACTAGTCGTCGCTTTGAATTTTGACAACAACAAGCCGTCTCTCCCTATCTCTTCCTTCTTGAAAATTATTATGTACGACATGGCGTCCGCACCTGCAGATGCCTAATAGAAGCAGAGAGGGGGCAGGATCCCTTCTTCTTCTTCTTCATTAGATTCATATTAGGATTAAAACTATTACTATTATTCTATCTA